TTTAAATTAGACTTGGGGGCTTGGGGTGGGGGGACCAGGGGTGGGTGGTCTCCTGGCTTCTCTATATTTCTGCTTTCTCCCCTAGAAGTCAGAGTTGAGGTTGGAGGTTGATATCTGAAACCTGACTCAGTTCCTCCCTAGTTGACTGTTTCCAAGAATTTTAGATCTTCGCAGATGATGAGCTCTCTCCACTCTGCTCTGCTTCGTGGTCTCTTGTAGGGATGTGACCGGGTAAAGAAACTCAATGCAAGAAAGCCTCTGAGACATACTATAAACTCAAGGTATCGTATCTGTGGCATTAATTAAACCTTATGCATTGAGTAATTGAACCAGTTTTGTTGTAAAGGCTTTTAAAAAAGTCGCTAATGGAAATGCGGTTATTAGCCGAAGAGCTGCCAGCAAAGGCTGTGGGGAAAGAGGCACCTGTTTCTTTTCCCTCCAAGGGGCCACGTATCACCTTCCTTGAAAAGCACAGTATGTGTGCACAGTATGTGCAGTGGTTGAGAACCGTGCAATAACAGTAATATCTATATACTGTTTCATTTAATAAGAAGATCTATTGTTATCCTCAGATATAGGTGAGAGAACCAAGCAGCCGCGATGTTAACCTGTAGCAGGCATTTGGATGGTGAGGTGCCAAGGATGGCGACAAGTTCTGGTTTTGCAGGAATGGGTAGATGGGCAGCCTTTCCTTAGGCAGGAACCACTGGGAGGGACAAGGTAAGTGAGGGGAGGGCTAAGTTCAATTTCAGGGGCCCAAAGGGAATGTCAGGTGACCAGCTGGCTAAGAGAGTCTAGATCTTAGAGGAGCAGGCTGGGCTTGAAGAGAGCAAGGCGACCGTTGTAACTGGCTTTGGACTGTCGGTTCAGTTGTCCGTAGGGGTGAAAAAGTGAAAGCGGGAGGGCCTGTGACTGTGGCCTCTGGGACCCTAACATGTACCATCCGGGTGAGACTGCAGAGGGGACTGAGAAAGAGCAGCCCCAGCCCTAGCCAGTTTGGCTCCCTGGTTAGAGGGCCAGCCTGTGGAAGGAAGGGTCCCAGGTTCCATTCCAGCCAAGGGCACCTACCTCGGTTGCAGGCTGGGTCAGGGCACATGTGCCCACCTGGGTCAGGGCACATGCGGGAGGCAACCTATCAATGTATCTCACAACGATGATTCTCTCTCTCCCTTTACTCTCTCTGAAAAGCAATGGAAAAAAAATATCCTCGAGTGAGAATAGATAAATAAGTGAGTAAATAAATGAATGAATAAATAAAGGGCCCTTAAAGGCCATAAGTAAAGTGCTTAGCACGCCCTCCACACAAGGATATTGCTATGATTCCAGGATACTGGTGTAGAGCAGGGTCAAGCAAACGTCAAGCAGATCCGGATTAGAATCTAGGTAGGACAAGGGACTCCGGGCAAGTCTGTTTAATCTCCCTGAACCTCAGTTTCCCCAGCTGTAACTTGGGGAGAATAAATAGATCATAGGGTTATTGGGAAGGTTCGATGAACCTATTATGCACAGGAAGCTCCACGCACGTAGGAGAAAGATGGACGTTGTCATGTGTGGGTTGGTTCACGACTCCAAGGCCCACACCCCAGTTATTTTCCCCCCAAACGCGCGTTGCTTTCCCTCGCGGTCGTGCAGCGCCGCGCGCTCCCCAGGGGCCCGGGCACAGGGGGCGTGGCTCCGGGCGTGGGCGGGGCGCCGCTTACGCCCGCCCCTGGAGGCAGGTGGGCGGGGCGAAAGGGGATTTCCCTCCCCCGCCCCCCCTCCTCCCCGGAGCGCACGCGCAGAGGCCTCAGGTATTTGGACAAGATGGCGGCGGCAGCGGTCGACAGCCCGATGGAGGTGGTGCAGGCGCCGGCGGACGAGGCCATGCCCGAGGCGGCGGGCCTCAGCTGCCTGGTCCACTTGCCCGGCGAAGTGCTGGAGTACATCCTGTGCAGCGGCTCGCTCACGGCCACGGACATCAGCCGCGTGTCCAGCACCTGCCGGCGGCTGCGCGAGCTGTGCCAGAGCAGCGGGAAGGTGTGGAAGGAGCAGTTCCGGGTGAGGTGA